TCCCAATGGGTGGGACTCGAATGTGCTGCTTAAGGGTTTTTTTATCGTCTTTGGAAATATTTTTCGTAAGGCTTGTTTCTTTCTTGAAGTATGTGAGGTTGGGATGGAAAATGGCGAGAAAATTGCTTTTGAAAAGATAAACGGAGGAGTGATTCTATTTTCGCTTTTTTATTTCCTCGTCTTTTTAGATTGTCACGATCTCAAGAGGATTCTATTTCAAGTATGTTTAGTGTATCTTCTAATCAAGGGGGTAGAATATTTCTTTAGAGCCTTGACTGAATGGGAAGTATTAGAACTTCCCTCTTTCTTGTCCTTGATTCATACAAACTCTTTGGTGTCCAATATAGTTGATAAGAGGTTGTGGGTTCTAGATTCTTCTAGTGTCTTTTCTTGTAAATCTTTTTTTCATGTGCATATTAATGATCCTTCTTTTTCAGTTTTTGGACCTTGTAATGATTTGGAAAGCTGAAGTGTCTGTTAAGATGCAAGTTTTCGCTTGGACTGATGATAAGATTTATACTTCTGATTTGTTGCAAAGGAGAAGACCGACTGCTTGTCTTTTCCCCCATTGTTGTGTAATCTGTAGAAAAAGTTGCGAAAGTGTGGATCAACTCTTTCTCCATTGTCCAATGGTGTTGAATTTGTGATATAAAGCAACTGGATAGTTTAATTTGAGCTGAATTTTTCCAAGAGATTGTGTATCTTGTTCCAGACTAATCATGATGTTTTGGGGAAGGAATGTAGAGCTTTTATCTTGGGGAATGTGTGGTTATGAAAAAAATTTGGGTGGTATGGATGGAAGGGCATAGAAGAATCTTTGATGATAAGGAAGAACACATGGTGTTTCTATAGGACCAATCAAAGTTTTTGGCTTGGACGGTAGCTACTAAAGAGTTTGAGCAATGTTACTAAAACGTGCCAAGGCAATCGCCTAAGTGAGGAGCGAGCTTAGGCGAATCCACATTGCCTGGAGTGTCCCAAGCAAAGTGAGCTTTGTTGAAGCAAAGATTAAGCGTCCAAGGCAAACGCTTAGCGAAAAAGCGAACGCATTAGTAAAATTTTTATTTAGATTTTTGGATCTATTATTGACTGTTACATTTGATCAATGGGATCAAAATTTGGACATGCCATAGCAGTTGATTACCATTTGATCCATATATACGTCTAACCCTAAAATTTCTACAAAAAAATTGATTGAGAATGAAGGATCACGAGGGTTGAAGTCACGACCTAAGGACCTGATTCACCTAGGTTTTTTCTTGTTCCCATACTTCTTCTCCTCCTCCTCCCATTCTTCTTCTTCTTCTTCTTTATAAATGATTTATTGCAACTTTTAGAAAAAAGATCTATGACCTTGAGGCTGGAACTCACTAGACCAACCTATTCTTTTTTCTTCTCTTCCAAAAAAAAATTTACTACAGAGACCAACTGTGTGTATACTTCTTATCCTCTTCTACTTCTTTTTCTTCTCCTCCTCTTCTTCTGCTTCTAAGATGGAGATGAAGCTCTGCTTTTGGTCACTCAATAATTCACTGTTGGTGAAGCATTATTTTTGCTTAAGGTGTTTGCTTGTCTTTTGATATTTGATTTTGGTTCTTTTGCTTCAAATGTAAGGATTTGGCATTTTTTTAAAAATTTAAATGTTAATGTTTTGGTTGACGTTAAGATTTGAAATATTCTTTATGCTTCTTTCAATTTAAATGTCTATGCTTTGAGTTGCATTTGAATATTTAATACTTAAGAAGTTAGAAATTGATACTTAATAATAACTAAACAAAAATATTTGCTTGGTTTTGATATTGTTCGCCTTGCTTCAATGAAGCTTTCCCTTCGCTTCTCGCCCGACGCCTAGGCCTCTGGAGATCTGAATGCTTTGACTCACTTTACGCCTTAAATAATATTTAGTTTGAGCATGTGCCATTTATTCCATTCATATTGATTGGATTACGACATATAGTTAGATAATATTTCTATCCTTTTGTCCCCGTTTGGGTGGATTCTTGTCCATTATATTGTGATCTATCACTTTTTACTAAAAAATATGTTTCTTATCAAAAAACACATTCACTTGGAATAACCCAACCTAAACTAAACTCACTATAAAGTCTATATCACAGTTTTAAGGCCACTTGACAATGGAGGAATATATAATCCACACTTTCACTACAACTTTTACACAGTTACACCTTTGAGAAGAAAGACAAGAACTTGGTTTTCACCTTTACAATAAATCGCAAGTATGAAGCTTTCCAATAGCTACAGTCCAAGCCAAAACTTGAACTTTAAGAGGCACTTTTGCCTTCCAAATCATCTCATGAAGTTTAAAAATTGGGGAAGACTGATCATCAATAAAGATATAGAAGTAGGACTCGCAAGAAAAGACACTATAACAATCAAGGGTCCACACTTTTCCATCCCCACCCTTAACATAAAGGAAATCAAGTCTAGTAAAGACAATAAAGAGGAAATTTCAAAACTTCCCTATCTTCGAGGCTCTGAAGAAACGAAAGTTCAACCCTCGGAGATGAAGAAGTACAATACATACTACCAATGGAAGTATCTCAAGACTGAAACAACCAAAAAAGTGGGGAAAAGAAAAAGCAAAAGTGCAATCACCCACTTATATATCTTTTTAAAACGAAATTCTCTCACCATTCCCATCACCTAATCTAACTTACCCCATGAAACCATTTACACAGCGAAAACAACCCCTAACCCCCACCTCAAGTCCCAACGTCTGGAATAAAGTCCATATTTGCTTTTGAAAACATGATGCCACAAAAACAACTTATTCAATTGGAAACCTCCATAAACCTTTACATAATAAAGCAATGTTTCTCTTCAAATATTTTCCACCCTCAAGTCCCCCCTTGAGTTTAGATCTAGAAACCACCTCCCACCTTAACAAGGTAATCCTTATCCTTCCCCACTTCCTTCCCACAAAAAATCTTTCATCAATTTCTCAATTCTAAAAGCAATAACCTAAGAAACTTAAAAAAGGACACAAAAAAAGGGTGTCAAAACCAATTGTACGAAAGTGAGTCCCCTTCATAGATAAGCCCTTTTCTAGCCCATCTAATCTCTTTCACACCCTCTATTGTTTACAAAAACACAGTGATAAAGGATTCCCCCCTCCAAGGTCTTCGAGGGCACCACCCCAAACTCAAAACCTACCCTACCCAATCCCTATCTAACTTCTCTTCTTAAATATTTATTCCAACCATTAGACTCTCAGACATATTACCTTTCAACCTTGACATCAAGCCAAAAGTCTTAATACTACCAAATTTTGAATTTTGAACTTTTTTGAAATTTTGAACTTTCACCTCATCCTGTACAATAAAAAAAAAAAGAGAATCATCACCAAATTGTAGATGTTAGACCTCCACACGATCCCTTCTCACCCGAAAACCCTTTAAAAGTTTAAACTTCCTGACCCCATCTAGTAACTGATTAAGCCCATCCGTAACTAACGCAAAAGAACCGATGACAACAGATCCCCCAACTTAAGACCTAGTACATTGAAAACTCCATTAGCCCTAGACACCCTTTAATCCATCTCCTCCATCCACTTCTAAATTCCTTATTTTCTAAAACAAAATCCAAAAAGTCTCAATAATATCATATGTTTTTCAAGTAACACAATGTGAGTGATTCCCCTCCCTCTAACCAAGGAACCTTGGTATTTAGAAATAGAATCCCCCAAAACCTCTCTAAACTTTCACAAGACAACTTTTGTCAAAATCTTGTGAAGACTAATCACTAAACTAATTGACCTGAACTCACTTTCTTTCCAAGTATTATGTTTTTTTGAGATAGGGAGCGATCTCCATGAGGAATGAACCACAATCCAAAGGGAAAGGGAAGAGTGATCGATCCACCAGCGGCTAATATGCAAGCGAGACTGTCAGTGAACCAACTAAATCAATCTTTTTTCGCTTTACACTCCAGTTCTTGATTCATTTTTAGCCCTTTCTAGCCACATGTGATAGCTCTGTTGCGGCCGGTGCTTGTTTGCGCACGTGTGAACCAACCCAACAAACAAAGAAAGGATAAGAAATGTATGTTGCATTAACATTTACATTTGACACACCACTAATAAAGAACTCCACAAACACGTTCATCAAATTAACCTTGATAATCTACCAACACTATTACAATCCCGCCATGGAAAAACCATCTGATCCCTACCACTTTTCCCTATTACACTAAAAAATAGCCAATTCCACCTTGTTTTCTTCAAACGACCTCTCTAGTCAACATGCTCTCTCATCACTAATAGGACTCCAATCTAATCTCATAACTGTCGGCCTCACAAGATCATCATTTGAATATAACAACTTAACCAAAAAAAAAGGAATCTCTTCTTCAATCCATCCTTCATCCTCTAAAACTATTCTATCTCCAACGTCCAACTATGTAACGAGATACTTCTTCCTTCTCCCATTTGCTACTTTATAGAACAACTTCGAGTTATTATCCACATCTTACATCTCAAATCTATTTTGGAGATCCTTTCCTTCCTCAACTCCGAAATATCTTATTAACATGGACTAGGCTGATCATATTAACATATCCAATAAAAGTTTTGAAAACTTAAAACTGCATGTTTACAATACCCATACAAAACCTCATTAAACTTCCCATTTTTACTGCCTTCACCTTTTGTTTAGTTCTTTATTCTTTTTATGGTTTGAGGCTACCGCTCGTTTTTGAAACAAAATTTTGACCTCTTTTGAGAATGTCGATAAGTTAAGTAATACTAAAAGAGGATCAAATTTAAGCTTTTCATAAGCTTAAATTACCTCAATTTCAATAAATCCAACTCTTCCAAACCAGATGCAAAAAATCTCCAAAGAATCAAACAATGAAAAACTAACCATTCTAAAAAGTCAGATGATTTCATGCTTGGGTTATCCAAGCATTGATTTTTGGAAAGAATCGAGGACAAATATATGCAGAAAATTTCCAGTAACGCTGCACAATGATACACCATGTATCTAAGAGCAACCACTCATTCTAATGGTACGAGAAAGTTCTAATTCCTTAACTAGGAATGCACAGGTAGACCACCAATCCAAACAAACACAAGACACCTTGTGTGTATACACGTTGACATACATGTCACATATTCTGACCTAGCCAAAACTAAAAACAACTACATCAACATAGTTAAAACTTTGTATGACCAATAAAATAGTTTAATTCATTGCATTATGCCATGGACTTGTGCTAACCGAAAGTCCGAAACAAAAGCAGCCCACATGTATACCACTGACAATTTAAATAACAATTTTCATGCAAGTACAAAATATAAACCAAAAAAACATATCGGAAGTCAGCAACAAGAAAGCATTATTTAATTGCAAAAGGAAAAATACCTCAGCCAAGCTCTTTGGCATTGGCTTCCCTTCTCCTTTCAACTTCTCGATTTTCTTTTGAGCTTCTTTAGCCCATGTAAATTTTGCCAAGGAATTCTCAACGTCAGCTATTGTGCAATTACAATGCTTTGCTGCTTCTTGCTTCTGAGTAGTTTGGAGATTCTACGTCAACAAGAAACCCAAATCAGATCAAGTGAACCCAGGAAACAATTTGAAAGAAAAACTTTCGTCTGCTAAAACTCACTGACAATATGCTCAATGAAATTATCAAGCAAAGCTCCTATGTCCTAAGTTTCAAGGTGACAAAGTGAGTAAACATTTGGCTTTAGAACAAAATGAAATATGGGAGTTATTCGTGAAAGTATCATAAAATAACTTAATATGAACAAGGTAGGTAAAACTTCAGCAGCAAAACAAATAGTTCAGCCAACAATCCTCATGGGTTGTTTATTAATTATGATCATCAAGCACTTTGGAGTTGCACAGTTAATTAAGCACACTTAAGACCCAAACCAAGGTTCAACTAAAAGTAGAAAAAATAGCAATGCACACCAATTAAAGAAGGATAAGTCTTCAATTGACGATAATTCAGAAGGATTCAATTAAGCATCGAACGCATTCTGGATAATTGGTAGTGATTTCAAAATAATAGAAAAAGCGAAAACGATTTTGGGTTCTGCTAGTGTGTCATCAATAGAGTACAAGTACATGTTTAGTCACACACACTTGTTGCAAAAGAATTAGAAAACTAACCTCTCCAGTAGGATCAAAACCTCCAAGATACCTAATAATGGCCTCCTGCTTCTCAAAGGCATCGGCAAATGTCGCTTCACTGCTTCGGCCCACAATGTACTGCTTAAAAGTCCCTACCTTTCTTGCTTTGCTCAACTCATCAGCAAACCCTTTCAAAATAACCACCCAAAAAAACATACAAATTATGAGCAAATACACACACGTAGTTATATATATATATATATATATGGAATGGTGAGCTAAAATGAAGGGGAGGTGAGATGGGGACTTACGGAGGAGGGTGAAGGACTCAGAGGAAGTGGTGGATTCAGGAGTGGCGGCCTTTTGGCCGGTGATGACACCTTTGATCTTGTCCATCCACGAGCCATTAAGTTGGGTTGTCGTGAAAATCCAACGGTGCTGTGATAGAGTTGGACCGCGGTGACCGTGACTTAATACGGAGGATGAAGAAAAGAACAAGAGTCTTCGAGGAGACATTACATTTGTACGTCTGCTAAGATGGAAAGAGGTTTCGAATGATTCTCACTCGGAATTGCAGGGGTTTAAGGTTTTCCTGTACTCAACGGTGAACGACGTAGTTTTTCCGACAAAGGAGCTGTATAAACCTGTTTAGCGACACGTCTTTACCCCCAAAATAATGTAAAATTTTTGCCCCCATACATTTCACCCACCCACGTGCATTTGGCTTAATTAACCGTTTGCTAAGAATGAAAAAGATATGCACTTTTCATCCTTAAAAGAAATTAAGTATAAATAATATACTTTTATTTTTTCATATTTGATTGAACGGAGGAAAAATAAAAATCATTAATTTTTTTTTTGTGCTAACTAAAATTAAGGGTAACAATTAAATCGTGTCATATTAGATACGTGTTGAGTCATTACGGATTTATATCAAATATTAGTCAAATCTAACTCAACTCATTTAACTAATTGTGTCGTGTCGAGTTGAGAGTTGACCTGTTTATTTTCATGTCGTCTTCATGTTTGTATTCGTGTTGATCTATTTTTAATTAAAAAATAAATCTAGATTTTTAATTAAAATGAAAAAAATATTTTTTTTTAATTTAAAATTTAAAATTTTATTTTTTAAAATTTTATTTTAAATTTTTTTAAAAAAATATATATAAATACATATTTTATCATTGTATTTTTATATGAAATTAATGTATACATAATATATGTATATATCAAAAGACATATAGACAAATGAGATACATCTCAACACAAATAATTAATTTTTCATCTGCTTTCATTTTGATTTTTGGAGGGATTGATTTTGGCTAGTCGGAAGGAAAGTTAACCCATTCACTTTTTCCATCCTTCATATTTTCTTTCCTTACCAAACTTGATGTTTTATTTATCCTCAAATTTTTCATCCTTTCAATTTTTCATTCTTCTATTTTTTCATCATACCAACCGAAGCATAAGACTCGACTGTGGTGTCATGCACTACTCAAAATTTATAATATCTCTTCATCGTCACTGTTATCTCTATTCTTATCTCGTCGTTACCCGTTCCTTGTCTCATCTTAATATTATTAGAAAATAATATATTAATGTGTTAAAATTATATATTAAATGTAAAATAATTAAGAAAGATGATGAAAAAATTTAAATTTAAAACAATTTAAAAAGTTATGGTAATTAAAACGAGATAAAATAGAGTCAAAAACGTAGTGTATATCTATATAGAAATTTAGGAGCAATTTGAGTAAATATGACTCAAAATAACTGAAATAAGTTAACTACGTGGCCGAAGAATAATATGAAATTAGTGGTGGTGCTTCCAAGTATTCATATAGCTTAATTGTCTAGGCTATGAGAATTGATTGAATGTTGATTAATTAAATAATTAAAAATTCAATAAATCTATATTCATCTATACTAATAAGATAGAACTGATTTTGAATTCTTAAGTAAATATACTACAAGAGTGACTGAGATTTATTTAATTCATTAGCTCAAAATCATTGCCAAAAATTTTTCCCCACAAACTTGAAAACTCCAATAAGTCTATACCTTTTTAAGCTAACCAAGGCTCAACTAAGTCTTCTTTCCCATATATTTTTCTTTTCTCTTTATTACGGATGCGAACTAATTTGATTTTTGATCATAGGATTCTAAGGAAGACTTGTTGAATTTTAATCTTAATTTTTGATTTGAATCCTAAAGTCTACCACAAGAGTAGCTAAGATTTATTTAATCCAATGGCTCAAAATAATCCCCAAAAAAATTTTCCTCCAAAACTTGAAAACCTCAATCAATCTATACTTTTTTATGCTAACCAAGTTCAAACTAAATATTAGATATATGTTTGTAATTGGTTAATTTAGTAAAATCCATTGTAAATCTCAACCCTATTTCATTGTCATGGTGATATAAAGATTGAAGGTGTGAACGTGCAATTAAAGGGAGGAGATCAAGTATCTACATCATTCACACTTGGTTGTACCTTAAAGCATCAAAGATACCTAAGATGATTCCTTAATTTAATAAACTTAGGAGGATTATAGTTAAAATAAAATTAGGGATTAATCCTTGTATGACTTGTGGGTGTTCTTAAAATGAAAATATTTTCTAAACCATTTATATTTTGAAAACATAGGTTGAGAAATTAGCAAATCCCTCTTGAGAAATGCTTTTTAGTGTTCAAGAGGACAAATTTTTTGTTTGATTTTAAGTTTAGAAAATATATAGGGACTGTATTATGCTCCCTAGCATTCGCTAGAGTAGTCTCTTTATGACTCATGAAAGAACAAGGGAAAAATACTACTAAGGAGATCAGGGCTCACTCTCTAAGCTCGCTTGAGTAATCTCATGGTCGCTCAAGCGGTCTGCTCTCCTTGGCCAAGTTTGAAATGCAATTTTCATTTCCGTGACCACCACTCTCCCACTAATCTAGTGGTCGTTCGTGAATCTAAATTTTCTTGTTAACCAAGATTACCATTATTCCGAACCTATAAGTAGGGAGAGTCTTTTCTTCAGCTAGGGTAAGTATCTTGTAACTCTTTTGAGAGTAAAAACTTATCTTCTACCTAAAGAGCCTCCACTACAACCTGTAGATCCCTAAGATCTAAGGCTACCTTCTAGAGATTTTACCCAACCTCACAACTTAAAGTGAAGATCTTGAATGTGTAAACCAAACCCATTAGTATATGTATACCAATAATCGTTGTCATGCTCATAATTGCTTGAGGCCTAGAGGATCTTTTTGCATAGGTGAATCCAAGTGAAGCTACACATAACATTGGAAAGGCACTTCGACGGAGAGACATATTGAAGGAAGGAAGCATCTAACTATGATATTGGTTGAGGTATAAGACTCAAATCCTTGTATGATATTGTTTTTGTGAATCGGTAGAGGTTCCCTGTGGTTTTTCTCAATAAGCGTTTCCGCGTCACCAAATCACTTGTGTTTATACACTTGTAATTGTTAGCACACACGCGCATTATGTGTTTGATATTTTGAATACTTGACATATAAATCAATTATAGTTGCAATTGGGGTTTGAGTTCTGGGATCGTCATAATATTGAGTGTTTGAGTGAATTAATTAACACAAATCTTCATGGGTTCATTGGGTCGTGGTGATTAAAAGGGGTTCTCACACTAAACTAGTATATTTTTGTGTGAAGAAGTAATTGAGGTAGAGTTATGTTTTAATTTATAATCGATTGTGCTTAAAATCAAAAAAATTATTAACCCCCTATAGCTAGTGTCGTGTGTTCCATGTGTATAATTATGAGGAAAGATTCACATTGTTTATCTCTCCTCCCGGAACAACAATTGTTATTAAAGGTGTCATTTATTTATCTATTATTGATGTCAAAATTGCACTGATTTTGAGTTATTAATCGAATAATCCTTGGTTTTATGATTTGATTGATTTTCAATGTTTGAATATTTTATCAAGTAAAACAGGTAAATTGAGCCGAATTGAAGGATTTGGTAAATCAACTAGACAACCGGAGCATATAAGGAAATCAAGGGGGATCGATCAAAGTGTAATTATACAAAAAAGTCAACAGAGTCAAAATTGGATATTGGGGGCTAGTCTTGGATAGCTAGTTGCGTCTGGGATGTGGGTCGTGCATCTGAACGCATGTGCGGATATTGAACAAGTTTGAAATTTTGGCTAAGTGTTGGTGACGATACGTGATGCCTTCATCCAAACGTAAGAGCTCCGTCCGAACGCACCTGTTGAGGATGGAATTCAAGAGAATTTAAGGTGTTTGGACGTGGGGATGCGTGCAGATAGGATTTGACGATATGGTGTACCTTTATTTGGATGTAACAATATGTTCAAACTAAATTGATTAATTGAAGTGAAGACCCCAGGCTTAAAGGCTTGTGTCTAAATGTGAGTCTTGTGTTTGGACGCATGTGTTGGAATGTGCGCTGTTCAATTTACCCTAGCAAGACTTAATTAGTGATCTTATATTATTTTTTATTATTTTTATTGAAAAAATATAAATAGGAAAAGAGTTGGTTGTATTCATATTATTTTACCTTTAGTTCTTCTTTGGCTGATCTTCCTTTCCTTAAATTTTTGAAGTTTACTTCCATGGCCTGTGAGTAGTTTTCTTTGTACTCTCTAGTTAGGGTAGGGTTCTTAGATTATGTATTTAATGTTATTATTCGTTTATTTTTCTTGAATGATTTATCATTTTTATTATCCGATTAAATGAATATTTCTAATCAAAGTAATATAATCTATATACTTGTTTGTTTATTCAGCAACTGAATAATTCTTATAATTCCATGCGAGTTTATATTGCTAGTTCCTAAATTCATATTTTCATATTAATCAAATCTTTGTTTAATAGTTATATCCTCTAGTTGATTACATTAACGTTAGAAGTCAACTGAGATAACGAATAATTGCATTAGTATTATATTCAATACACATGACTAGTTCATGATCCCGGTACTAAAGAGTCTCTTTTCATACATAAGAATTTCTTTACAATTAGTTACAATTGCTCATTCCACAATCAAGATAAATTGTTCCTTCTTTTCACTTTTCCTTATATCTAATTCATTTCCCTAAGGATCGACCTTAGTCTTACCGAGTTATTCTATTTCTTGACCACCTGCACTTGGGTGTACCTATTTGGAGTCAACAAGTTTTCGGTGCAGTTGCCGGGGTGTTGAAAGGATACGGAAGCCGAGAAGAGGAATCCACAATCACAACGAGCTATTTGGAGAACTTGATTTTCTGTGTAACCTCGTTTCGTCTTTTAGATTCCCATTTAAATAATGTGTTAGTTTTTAATTCTATTTGATTTTTGTTATTTAATTTTTAATTGTTAGTTTAGTTTAATTTCCAATCATTTAGTTCTTAGTTGTATGTCTAGTGTGGAAACTTTAGATTTGGATATTGAATCATCATTTAAAGAATCTGTAGGATCTAGTTGAACATGCAATAATATGAGAGATAACACGAACAATCCTAATTGTGTTCAAGAGGTTAACCAACAGGTCAAAATTCTTTGGGATTACCTGCACCTCACAAGGAGCAGTGTCCCGTCTTGTTTTGTCTTTCCACAAAATGCACAAAGATTCACGGCGGAACTTGGC